ATGAGTAAGTATTACGACATGGATTAGATTCAATATACACTTGATAAATCACTGCAACATAAAATACATAGAAACATTATTATACCTAATAAGGATGTATTTGTATGTGGCAGAGTGGGGTGGCAGGGATTTTTATGGGTGTATGCGAGTATGAGGGTGTGGCAGGAACTCGTTTAACATGAGATGTGTGCTTCCACAACCAGTTAATATCTTAACTCCATTCAGAAACAACTTAAATGCATGTAAAAAAAAAAAGAAAATAAAAAGAAATACAGAACCTTTTTCCAGTACCTGTTTCAAAGCTTTCTTGCTGTGTTTCTGCGAGGGAGAGATGAGCTTACTGGTGGGAACAGAAGGCGACGAACATCGAGGCTGCGGAGACGACGGCTGTGACTGCAGCTTGGAGGGAACTACAAAATAGAAAAAGCACAGAGCAGATGTTACAAAATACACTTCCTGAGGGTGGTGTACAGACTTTATCACATCATGCTTTTGTTTTGATGAAACTGAAACCAACACAGTGCACAAAGGAGCAGATTACATTTCCTTGCTAAAATATCATATTACTAAAAAAGGGCTGAACATCTCAATAGGAAGATTGCACAGAACAACCCCCTCCCCTCCACCTGTCCGCTGTCTTTTTCTAATAAAACATCTTTTCTACATACCGTAGCATTTCCACTCGTTTCTTTCTCGACGGCACTGAATTTGCATTTGACTTTGTGGTTCTTTACATTGATTAGTACAAAAATAAAACAATATCGGAGTCCTCCCACTTGCTCGGCAGTTTCTAACTTGTGCATAATCAGGAAGTGGTCACGGGTCATACTGAAAAAATACAGTTTCCTGTTTTAACAGTCACTTAAAATATTCGAGTGGCAGAGAAAAATAATGAAAGTCAGTGAGAGCACAGCCTGAGGAAAACAAAATAATTGGTACTTGACGAAAAGCTTTCTCCGAAGTTGCGCTGCAATCAGGCACAATCAGGTGTGCAATTTGCAATAAAGCAATGATTTGACCTCACAGCCAGACAAAAGAGCAAGAACTGCTGTGATGCGATGGTCATGCGCAGCCTGCAGCTTCTCTGCTGACGGTTGACGGAAGACATTATGGACACAGCATGTTTGTTTAAAAGATAAAACCCACCTTTTGCTATTATCATGTTTGATGCTCAGTGTAATCCAGGAAATATTTTGTGATAAGATGGAGTAATTTATGTTTGTGGTGAAGCCACTTTCCCTCAACTAGCCTCGCCTACTGCTACTTCAGCTGGTTTCCTGCATTTCTGCAATGACTTTAAACAACGGTTGAGAAGGGGGCGTCAACTCTTGCTGCCATAATAGAGCTTGGTAACCAATCAACAAAAACCTTACTTATTGCGTTATTAGGCTACTGTCGACTGAAACAAGAAGGAAGCCCCTTACTCTTTAATAATGTAAATAAAGTTGTTCCTGGAATAAGGATTTTAGCTATAATGTAATGGAGACATTTATCAAATGAAATGATATACTATGATTTATTTTAAAATATGCAATAAATATTATATGACCATTTAATTATGCTATTATGACTACTGAATGGTGATTCCAGAATAAGCCAATAAACATATCAGGTAGTCAGTAAACTGTTCCTAAAGAAATGACTTAAAGTGACGCAGTGATGTACAAACTCTTATTGACGAGGCTGTGTATAGTCCACTATACCTCTCCGCATCCACCTTCCTCTCCTCCCCTCTTGAGTGATGGCATTGCTGTTGTTTTCTGTGCTTCGGGAGTCAGAGAGATTGTCACTACTCTCCTCAGAGCCCTCCTCAGACAGCTCCTTTGCCACATCTGAGATGTCCTTCTACATTAAGAAAATGGAGAACATACAGTATATTATTTTTATGTGATAGATGAAGCATTGGAAGAGAAAGGCAGAGACAAATAAGAAAAAATAAACTCTCTGAAGTATAAAAGACCCATCTTTTACGTCTGTTAGTCCATTCGCCATTTTTGGCCTTGAAGGGCAGAGTGATGAAATCTGCTTTGTGTCTAACTAACCTTTAATGTATAGACTCCCATTCTGCCTGGAACTTTGTAGAAGATCCCCTCCTCGCCACGAGAGTTTGTGTGCAGCATTGCATTCAGACATGCCAGCGGCGAGGTTCCACTGGGTCATGAGAGAAAAACACAAATTACACATCTGTTCCCCAATAAATCAGACAGCTGGGAGAAAGACGCAAGAAGGGTGAAGGCTGGTCTGATATCTGGGAAGAAATTTGCTGTCATGCATCAGGAGGACATGTGTGAGTTCAATTCAGATTCACATCACTATAGTTGTGAGGAAGTTTGCTCTAAGTTTTATGTGGAGTCAGTTGCATAAAATTGACTCAAGGCTAATCTAATTATTGTGAGGGACTGATATTGTCAGATTAAACTGGTCTAAAATAAAGATGTCTGTTGCATAATAAATCATGACTCATTCAGTCAAACTTCATCTCAGTCATGCAAAAGATCTAGATGTGTAAAATTATTGTTCGTACTTGTACTGATTAGTAAGAAATTCAATGAGTTAGAGAACAACCAACATCTGTTATTCATTTAGTAAATTAAACTTGCTGGCCAAAATCTGCCAGATATTTTGTGTCATTAATTTACATTGCTGTTAAATTCTTTTGGATAATATAACGTAACAGTACTGAACTTTCCCATCTATAAATTAAAAACCATGTCACCAGCTGTCATTTTACAATACTGGAAAATACAACGATACATATATACAATATATATTTATGCAACAGGTGGCTCTACAACATCTATGTAAAAGCACAAATGTGAGTCTAACACTGCGTCTTTATGCAACTGAACCTAGGACATGTTATTGTTAATAACATGCAAAGAGTAAAACCAAACAGTGGCATTGCAGTGAGTTTGTTAAGGTAAGGGGTGGGGGCTAGCTTTTTCTTACCTTCTGGATGAGAACAGTGACAATGCAACAAAAAGAAATGAAACAATTATTAATTGAATAAAATAATTACGACTATGTGATCAAGAGAAAGGAAAGTACATGAGCAATCAATAACAGAGGGAGGATACTGTAGTGTTCCCTCTCTCATGAAAATGTCTCCTAACAGAAGGGCATTAGCTGTCGTGAAAAAAATATTTACCTTATTTCTTTAAGCCTTTCTCTTTGGATCACCTGCAAGATCTCTTTATGGCTCATAGGCGTGTTAGGGTATTTCTCCAAAACCTACAATAACAAAACATCATTATCAAAAAATACATGACACAACTCCTCAGAGTGGTTTTCATTAGACGTGACATGGTCTCAAGGCAACTTCAGCTGAAGGCTGAGATTTCACATACTGAAGCTTTCTGACAAGTTCCTATGGAACCTACAAATTCCCTTGGCTGTGAAAGAGCAGGATGCGATGCTCAGAATAATCAAGACCACAGATCTTTTACAAACATTGTGGCTTTTTAACTATATTAGATTTAGATTGAGATCTCCCATGATGCTGATTAGCTCTCAGGGCCAAATGCACATAAAAAACCATGCTGATAATAAATAGCAGTAGGTCAACTACTAAGCTGTAATTTTCACATAAGGCAAGGGTACAGTCATTCTAAGAAACACTGTCATATGTTAAAATATATACAGGGGATGCAGTAAGATCACAAACACTTTAATATGAGCTAAAAGCAAAACATGTCAACAAGAGTATCTCATAGTACAGTAACACTGCAGAAACTTTCCCTCCATTATTTAAAAAAAAACATCTGGTTTGGAGCAAAAAATGTCGCTTTTATTTTGCATATTTTTTGTGAAGACTGCTCGTATAAGTCTGTATTATTATAGTATGATGAGCATCTCAGAGAAACAGGACTTTATGGATGTTAGAGGTTTTACAATTTATCATTTATGGAGTTTGCAAGGTTGTAAAAGCAAAACAATTGCGATAGTTAAATCGGTGAAGCTAATGCATCACTAGACAGCTAACATCCTCACAAACAATAACGTTACACTTTAATTGTGAAATAGTTGCTGGGAGTTTGATAATTTGTACTCATTAGCATGCTACGGTAGACAGCTAGCTTGGATGCTAGCAACATTCATTTCTGCATCTCGCCAGGCGTTGGCATGTACTAGATTTACAAATTTGATCATCTGTTATGTAGTTAAGGCAACTTTAGAGCAACATGAACACTGCGTATTTTCTTGTGTTTTACCAGAAACTGGCATCAAACAAAGTTGTTAACGAACTGAGTTGCATTAGCAGGAGCTAGCGTGCTAACCTGGCTAGCACGCAACACTGACGTGACTACTTCACGGTTACTTTATTCGACTTCAAAGCGTGACATACATGTCACCAGTACCGTCTAGACACAACACACAGAAGGGTTTTGCAAACATGCTTGGGTGCTCGCAGCTGAGATTCATTTCACTGCATTTACGCTGAACGGTGACGGATAAGCAGAGCCAGACAGCTAGTGACAGCGGCTCTCAAATTGTCTAACCGTCAACACAGGCCTTGCGCGGCGTACGCAACATTTCGTCTTCACCAGCAGGTCATGAACTCATAAACACAGTTGTACAAGTGGGAGCGTTCAAGGAAAACAACCACAACAAACGGCACATAATAACACTCAAAATACCGTTTTAGCGGCTTCCGCCCACGTCCTCCCCTTCTTTTTCTTCTGTCTCTCCCTCATTGTGGATGCCTTGTTGCAGAGTAGTGTTGAATTTGTCTGTTTCGGTTGAAATGTTGCTTTAGTTACCGCGTAAGATCCACTCCGTCTGCCATGTTGGACTTACTGTAAAGAGTCATGTGACTCCGAAGGAAACGTCATCTTACTGTATATAGATGTCATCTCAAAGTCCAGGCTTCCCACATATATTTATTTTAGCTGTCAACCGCAATTAAGACCAGGATCACAGGAAAACTGCAGCCTAACCGCAGCTCTTGGTGAAAATACAGTAGGCAATTCGAGATCATTTCAGTCTGTTTATTTTCATGTGTAAGCAAATGGACTTTGCACGATTTCACAACTATGAAAAATAAGGCAGCTAATCAAGAGAGCACTGCAAGCTTTCTTCACATTTGTGGCTCACAATTACATTGGCTACAAATTCAAGCAACAATTCATCAAGCATACAGGTTAAACAAGGGTGGCCCCTATTAGGTGGGGCCTTCACTTCCCCAATCACCCTCTACTATTTAGGCAAAGATACACCAGATACACTTTGTAGTCTTTTACATAAAGAAAAAAGGAGACTCAAGTGTTTCTTTTGGTAAATAATTGATTAAACAAAACAAAATAAAGAAAAATAAAGATTTAAAAGATTCCCAACAACAGTTTACTGTATATCAAACCTAGACGTTTTAGCTGTGCTATTTGGGTAGGCCAGTGTGAGCCAAGAGAAACTGCATGATTCAGGCAACAGTAGGAAAAAGCCAGCAAACAAGGAAAGATCAGTGAAAGAGCTTCACAGATTCTCCATTGCATTTATGTAACAGACGTTCTTTGGAAATTAATGTTTTGTCTTTATGGTCTCACACATGCTTACTAAAGTAATTCTTACTCAAAAATATAAAGAAACAAAGTGAGAAATAAATTTATAACCAAGGCATATCAATTCCCCCCACCTCTCCCAATTGCCCCCTGGCCAGTCTGGGGTACTTGGTGCCACCTTGAACTAAGGCCGGTCCTACAGTACAGGTCTATCAACACATATCAGGGGCTTGTCTGAACTGGACCTCCCAGTGGGAGATAGGCAGCAGAGGATGGTCTCTGTCTGTGAGAGGGAGAGAAGCTCTGAGATCCTGATGCCAGAGTGGTGGAGGATGACGATGATGTGACAGATGCTGCTTGCGGTGCCTGATACCTAGAGACCATAAAAAAAATTTAAAAAAAACAGACTTAGTTATTATTAAAGATCCAATATGTTTGATTTGTTATGGTACCATATCTCAAAATGACCTAATGTATCTACAGGATTTCACCACGTGCTGAGACTTTCCCAGCTGCTCTCTCACCAGGATTGGGATTTCCTGACCCGTGATGAGGAAGTGGGCCTCTCTCTAGTTGGAACATTCACCAGAAGATCCCGCATCAGCCGTGGAGAGAAAGCCCTCTCCAGGTGAGTTCCATTAAGGTTCAAGGTGAACATGGTTGGTGGAGACATATCTAACTCCAACAGCATGATATTCTCAGCCTGTAAGAAGAGATGACAGTAAAGTTGCAGTTTTAATAACACAACTTCATATACAAAGGCATTTCTTGTCTTGTGGGATGCCTCCCTGTTTTCTGCTATGCTCCGACTTGCTGTGTTAACTTTTGCTCCCATCTGTTTGCTGTAAAGGCAAATTCGATATTTACTCAACCAGTTTCAATCAAAACTCTTTCATCTGTTCCAGTGCATAATCAGCTCCCTTTTCCTTAAAACATCTATTATGAAACATCTTCAGCAACACACTGCAAAGAAAACTCAATCTGAATTTTTTAAACTCAGAGCAACACAGTGTGGACCAAAGCATGGGTACATCATCGTTATTATCGTCACAAACAATGCTGTTAAAATGCAGATGATCCTACATTCACTTACAATTATATTATTACTGTATATGAACCAATATAGTACAGGTAACTACTGTCAACCCCCCCCCCCCTTTTATTTATTGGAATAGACTTCATCCTTTTCTATTATTTGTGCTGCCTTTTATTTGAGAGTTTACAGTATCTGCTTTGTGACATTACATTGATTATTCACTAACAAAAGATGCAACAGTTTAAACTGTGAAATGTTTCCATGGCTACAACCATCCTCACATCCTCCAGCTAAGAAGGCGTCTTTGAACATGGAAATGAGACTAATATTTCACATCTCTTGCTGTACTTTTCCCAACTGTCCTCGTGAATGCCCGAGCACTGACCTGGTATCTAGATGGGGCCCCAGTTGCCGTGGCAACCGCCATCTGTGCATATTGGCTGATTGGCCTCTTGTATCCCACAGCCGAGAGAGGCCTTCTCTTGACCTGAGTGGGTGCACTGAGATAAAGACATGGGAAAGGAAGGGTTTGGATTCAGTTAAATACACTTAAGGCTTTGCTTAGCGGTTCGGACACAAGTTTCTGTAACCCCAAAGGCCCTATATATGGTCAACGGATCAGCTCCCACCAGAAAAAAGTCACTCCTATTATCTTCCCTATGCCATGTTTAACTCAGCTTTCCAACTGTTTCAGTAAAACAAATAAATAACCAGGGAGGCCAGGCAGCCTGAAAGAAGATATGTGTTTCTTGGAAAAGCAAAATACATAAATTATCCATATCATGTAAGCTTACAGTCTGTTAATGTGAGTCTCATAAATTCTGACTTTGCCATCCCCTGGTGGCAGCATCTTACTACAACGCAAAAAACTTTTATTTTTTAAAACAATCTGAAAGATGCTTTAATCACATAAATTGTTGTATCATCTATCTGTGATTTTATTGAAGGTCTTCCAGTGAGCTTTATCTACTGACTTCCTACATTTCACAGTTGACTGACAGCCCTTACAGCAGGAATGTGCAGGTGCATTCAGGTGTGATACATGGAGGTCAAAAGAACTATAATAGAGTTAATGTTTTTCCAGTTGTAAAGGAGGAATATATGCACCCTTGGCTTAACACCTGATAAAATGTACCTTACAGCTGCATTGCATTGTGGTCTTTTTAGATGGCTGCATCTGTCACTGATTTACAATTGGTTTTGAGGATTTTTTTTCTCTGTCTTTAATGTACCACTTGCAGTATCTTATGTCAGCTATGTGAGATGGATTCACTGACCTCTCTGATGGAAGGACCGGCTGGAGTCTCCACTGATCCTCCTCACTGTCAAAGTGCAGCCTGTTCATAATCTTGTTCTTTTCCTCGGGAGGTATAAAATTCTCAATTAAGAGATATCTGCAATACGCAATACAAGTATGTGTCATCTGAGGTCAGCCGCAGTATTTCATTCATACCACAAGAAAAGTATTGAGAGAAAATTGAATTTCTGCAGAATTATACATGTTAATAATCACAATTAAACGTAAACAAATTCAGTAATAGCAAGAGATTTTTTGAACAATGCCACCTCACAGCCCATTGAACAAATTAGATGTTTGTGCCTGACTAGTTACACTTTACATTTTACAGATCCCTCCCGGCTTCATGCCACCACCCCACCCTGATGAGGCAAGAACCTCTCACATACTCAGCGTTATGTAGTTATGCCTCTTGAATTCTTGAAAAATATTTCAGTGTAGAGCAGACATAGTTTAAAAAGTTTAATATTTTAATGTTAATATACCTCTCGACTGTACCACAATGTCATTTATTGCATATAGATAGATAGATAGATAGATAGATAGATAGATAGATACTTTATTTATCTCCTAGGGGAAATTCATGAATTATTATAATCTTGGATAAAAGCAAACAGGCTTCACTTATTTGCATGAAAGGTGTTGTTAGTCAAATAAAGAATCATTATAGCAAGTGTTGGGTGTACCTTACTTGGATTCCTGGCAGTCTTTAAAATATATGAACTAAAATCTGCATGTGATGAACCTACACCACGATGTGGGCATGAATATGTGCAACATGTTCGTGCATTATTATGTTGAAATAGGAAAACCACACAAAAATGCAAAAGACGTGACATTATGTACCTGTGTGTATTTACCGATGTGGGCAGTGAACTTACTTGTACTTTAGCTCTCTGGTGAGCTCATTCTGTGTCTGTTCAAGCTCCTGTCTGGTCATGACGTGTTCATCGATGACATCTTTTATCTCCCCCTTCACCAACTGGAGTTTGGTATACAACTGTACACAGCAGGGACATATTATTTACTAGTGTCATTTTAAGAAGTAGGGGACAAATGTTTGCATGAGAATCACACCAGTCAGAGTGTGGAGCTGTAACAGAAACTGACAAGGCATTCATGGAAACAATTTAAAGTTAATTGACACAAGTGGAAAAAATGTTCACTACCAACTGGAAATGAGAAATGAAATTATTCGTAAACACCAGAGAAAAAGAGGTCTGTCCAGAGAGACATGGACTCACAAGTTCCGCCTCTCCTGGTGACGTCTCTCTAAAAAAAGATCCTTGTTTCCAAATAAGATTAACTAATTAAATAATGATTTAATCCTTAAAACACATCAGTGGCTGAGCTTTTGTGATGATGACTTCGGAGCACATGGGTGCGTGTGAGTCATCTTACCCTCTTCAGCTTCTTTGTCTTTAGTTCCACCTCCTGCTGCAGGGAGGAGAAGGTTTCTTTCATTTCTAAGGCCTCCTCGTCCTGCAGCATCATCTGCTGCTGGATCTCTCGCTCTCGTCTGATCTGCAAATCACAGACAAATGTGTAGCTCAATTCAATTTTAATATAAGGAGTACGCCCTTAAAAATCCAGCTAGGTTCCAAACATCTTTGTGTGTAAGTTCAGACTAGCCACAATTATACTTGTTTAAACTTGAGCTGAAAAGTAACACTAAATGTGCTTTATATCATTTAATTTTGGGAAAGAATGACTTAAATCATTATTGTTTTGATTAACTGCAAATTACCTGTTCTGCAATCTCTTGCCTCTTCAGCTCCAGCATTTTCTGTTGTTCATTGGTGTGATCAATTATAGTCTTTCCTCCGACTAACAGCTTGCTCTCCATCGTCTGTGAACAAAGAAACACAATAAATTATTTATGCAAATTTTTTATTGTTCCACCAGAGTCACATTTATCAGCCACTGTGCTGTTTAATAACAAGGCACAGTACCTTATATTTCTCTATGATCTTCTCCAAAGCATCCTGATCCCACTGCATGTCCTCCACACTTTTCCTGTGTTCGTTCAGGGGCTTTAACTTCTCGCTGCTTCCCTGGCAGGTCAGACTCTTGGGGATGCCTCCCTCTTTCATGTACTGTTTCAAATCTGATTCCTCCTGCACAGCCTTCCAATCCTCCACATCCTTCTCCTTAAGGAGCTCCTCTTCCATCCCAGCCATACTTTTACTCAGTCTTCTACTATTCCTCCTCCTCCTCCTCTCCTTTGCAAGCATCCCTTGCTCCTCCAGCTGGGCTTTCAAGCGTGCGATCTCCTGCTGAAACTCTCTCAGCAGGGCATCTTTGGGGTCCTCATTAATCCGAGGTTTGTTCTTTATGTTCTTGGCCCTGCTGGCGTACCTGAGTGTGGCCAGGGATTCACTGAAATTCTTCTGCGAAGGCCCCACTGTTGCTATCATGACAGTCTTTGCATTGCCACCCAGCGAGTCCTGGAGCAAGCGGGTCAGTTTGGAGTCTCTGTACGGGATGTGGGTGCTCTTGCCATCCGCCAGAGCTGAAATGACATTCCCCAGCGCTGAGAGAGACAGGTTGATTTTGGTTGCCTCCTTCATTCTCTTCCCTTTTGCTCCTGTCTTGCTCTGGCGCTCGCTGCCAGCCAGGTCAACCATGTTCAGCTTCCCAACCCGGATGTGGTCCTCGCCATCTGGCCCTACCTCACTGCACTCCACGGTTATGACAAAAATTGCATGAGACCGAGAGCTGTGTTCGTTCATGTTGGTGAACCCCACAGACCTGGACTGGTTGCCTATGTTCATCACATGTTCGATCTCAGTGGCATTCTTTGTCACCACTGACGACAAGTCTTTCACATACACCCCAAAGTCCGGATTCTCTTTCAGCTCCAGTTTTTTGTTGTTATCTTTGCACAGCAGATCTCTCACTTCCTCCTGGTAGATCTCAAGGTACGATGACCTCACCAGGTATTTCTGGTTCTGAGTTCTGGAGATCTGTGTGAAAATGTGCTGAAATGAATTTGGTATAACCCCTCTCTTGTCTGGGTCGTTTGACACCCCTTGCATGGTGAATGTTTTACCTGTCCCCGTTTGTCCGTAGGCAAATATAGTCCCGTTGAAGCCATGCAGCACGGACTCCACCAGAGGTCTGACCGCATCATCATAAATGTCGCTTTGTTTTGATTCCCAGCCATACACAGAGTCAAACGTGAACACTTTCATCGGCTCATCAGGTGGTGCCTTCGGGTTCCTGATGGTGATCCGCCCCAGTTTGTCATCAATATCCAAAATGTTTTCACACTGAGCTGTCTCCTCTTTCCTGTTGAACGGCCGGCAGCGGACCACCACCCTGACCGCCTCGCAATGTTTGCTTTTAGACATTTTTGGTCAAAAATGAGAGAAAAAGCATAACTGTCCTCACCATATTAAAAAGGCCACCGTCATCATCATCATCATCATCATCTTCGGGCGGTGGCTACAATTTAGCGCCTTTCCTTCTCTGTACAGGTGCAGCAGAGAGCGACATACACACCTCATGTGAGCCACTCTGAGCCGCTTAGATCATCCACGCGAACCGGCGTCTCCTCCGCCCCGAGCATCTTCCAGAAAAGGATGCGATGTCACAGGATGTTAAATAGGGATGCTGCTGGAGAAAAACACCCAGCCAGCCCGGCCCAGCCCACACAGCCTCCCCGCGGTACACACCCTGCTCTGCGGACAATGGAAACCAGACATGTGACCTGCGCGACGAATTGGATTTGAGCAAATCTTCTCCTGGTCCTCAGCGATGGTCTAATAATGTAATCTTTGATAAATTACCTCAACATCTAACCAGCACTTGAACGCACCAAGAGAGGGGGGGAAAAAAGTATCAGAAAACCAAATTTGATTCAATAACAAAACATTTATTCAAGCTTCACATTTACATCACCGTTCAAACCAGGCCAGAAAATCTTTTAATGTACAAAAAAGTAATGACACTTGCTGAAGAATATTGGTAGACATTCATCAGTACTGACAAATTATTTGCCAGTTGGAAAATATTTTAATTCCTTTGTCTCTGCAGTGTCTTTAAATGCAATGCATGAATAATTAGGCGTCTTATGCTCCTTAATCTATACACCATCATGTAAATCAATAATGTTAAAGTACAATAAAAAAAACATGTTTCTGCAGATAATGTACTCTGTTACCAGTTTATTAGGTACACCCAGCTAAAACTAATGCACTGTTTTAGAGAGGCTGTTGATTCAACTGTACAGTCACTTTGGAGGCTATATAAGAGAAGCACCTCTATGTTATTGCTATACAACACCACACTCTGCGTCATGCAAAATGATCATACAGTAGAAACAGTTTCAACAAACGCTGAATGTTATAAAGACAGATTGCAGGATACTAGTTTTAGCTAGGTGTACCTAATAAACTGGAAACTGAGCGTATCTCCAGTATGTTTGCCTCCACTCATGTGGCAGGCTTTATTATGAGCTACTGGCACGCGCGGTGAGTCGGTCACTTGTGAAATTTCTTGCTGGAATCCTTTGCATGATCCAGCAGGAGTTGGCATGGAGTGAAGTGATTTCCGTAGACAGCTTCATACGCCCTCATCTTCTCCACCAGTTTGTCGGCACCAAAGGTGTCAACAAAACGGAAAGGTCCTGGAAGCAGTAAGATATGAGATTAGATTAGACAGAACACGCTATGAAACATGAAACATAGAACAAAAGGAGAGCCCTTGGGGAGGTAATGCTCTTTCCACTGACAAGAGTATAGAGACACTGAGCATAAGCTGCTCAGATGACCATGACTAAGGTTGAAATCTGACCTCCGAGGAAGGGAGGGAATCCCAGCCCAAACACTGCCCCAATGTCTCCTTCCAAGGGGTTGTTCAAAATACCCTCCTGCAAACACATCACGGCCTCGTTGACGAACCGGGAAACAAGTCTGTACTGCACATCGGAGTCCGACGAGCTGGAAAAACATTCACAAGTAAGAACAGAGTATTTCAATGGTTAAACAATTAAAAATTTAACAAAATATAATCAAAAGCTCAATAGGTGGTGTTTTGTCACCTCCACTTCTTATGAGTAACAAATGGAGAAAGATTTAAGGTTAACAGCATGTGCTTTTAGACTTCCTCTAATAATAGTAGTTTTGTATAAGACAAGGTTAATAGTGCAACTTAAACTGCTGCGTTGTTAGTTCTGCAATTGTCCAGTGTCATCTTACACAGCAGGATTTGGTGTTATCCTGAACTTCTCAAGGATGTCTCCGATGTCTGGGTTGACTTCTTTGACTTTGAGTCCTGGCTGGTAGATGTAGCAACCCTTTCCTGATTTCCGGCCTTAAGGGGAGGGGGGAGCAAGGATTAAATACAATACATGCTCACATTAATTAATGGATGAAATACTTCATCCAACCTTAAGTGTGACACAATCCTTCAATGTGATCACCCATACCCTTAAATCCCATGTCCACCATGGTCTTCAGAACCTCCACATTTCCACCACCGAAGCGAGAGCCAAAAGCTTTGCCGAGGTCCTCTGCCACATGGGCGGCTACGTCAATACCGACTTCATCAGCCAGTGTGGCTGCACCCACGGGGAACCCGAAGCTTGTGGTGAGTGCATCCAACTTCTTGGGGTCAACCCCTTCCTGTAAATGCACCATGGGTAGATTAATACATTAGGTATACTGTATGTACAACAGCTATCCTAAAGGTATGTATATGCTTTGTTCAACTGAGCATACGTATGTACAGTGTACATAAATACTCATTCACCGCTACTTTTTGTACTGCAATACTACCAACCTGAAGTACTCGTACAGCTTCAGCCAACATTGGAGCCAAACACCTTGTTGTATAGAATCCAGGTCCATCCTGCAAAGACATTTGTGTCAAATGTTGTTGCAGTGAAATATTGGTACAATTAACATGCATCAACACATGACTCATGGTGGTCATTAATTTAAGCTGTGATCAGTATTTTTGCTGAATCACCCTCAGCCACTTATAACTTCATTGTTAGTTATTTGTTGTCTCTTCTATGTTTCACTGTGAATATTTAATAAGGGATTTAAAAGTCTTACAAGGTCACTTTACAGGGAACAAAAAAAAAAAAAGACACTGACCCCAACAACTATGATGACTTTGCCCTGCTTCAGCCCGACTGCCACAGCAGAGGCTGTAGTGTCCTTTGACGTCTTATCAGTGGTTATAATCTCAAGCAGCTGCATCTTGTCGACTGGAGAGAAGTAGTGCATTCCAATGACCTGAGGATACAGAGAAAATATTCAGCAACACGGTGCCTTTTCATTTAGAAGCAATCTGGGATTTTTAAATTACAAGGCTCCTAAGTACAAACCTTGTCTGGTCTCTTGCTGGCAGCAGCGATGTCCTTGATGGGCAGAGCAGACGTGTTGCTGGCAAATATGCAGTGAGGGGAGACCACCTGCAGGCAGATGTTTGTTAGCTCAAAGTCACAGCTAAACTATGAAACTATTGTGGGTACATTCTCTTTGTAATTAAGGCCTAAGCCTCTTCAGTCACACTTACAGCCTCCACCTCCTTCAGGACAGCATGCTTGATGTTAATGTCTTCAAACACAGCTTCAATAACCATGTCGGCCTTTTCAAAGCCGCCGTAATCCAGCTGGCCGGTCAGGTTGGACAGTATGGAGTCTCTCTGAAATGACGTGATGCTCTTCTTTTTTGTCTTGTCGTTGAGCCTTGTTAGGAATAAAATTCAAATGTTTCATCAGCGTACAAACATGCGTACACATTTATGGTTCCAACATGTTTATGCTGCAAAATTTACAACTACAGCTATCATATTTTACCTACTGTCGTTAGACCTGTAACCGCATTTAGAGACCGGTTTTTAAAGTCAGGATGGCCCCATTTTATCGAAGCAAGCACAACAACACATGCAAAGCAGCAGGTCTTGGCCGCATGGACTGCGTAGGCATCTCCAAGCACACCTGCTATTTTGGTTCATGTAGGTGCAGCAGCACAAAGTGCCAAAGGGCTGCAGGAGGTGAAATATCGAAGGATGAGATGATTGAGGCAGGTGCTGTGGGTTTTTATTCAACTTGTACAATGATGAGAGAAATAAATAATAATAAAAAGGTTGAAGTCCTCTATATGACTGAATAAATAGAATGCTATTTTTTCCAGGTTTCTATTGTTTCACATCATACTGTAAAATGTGACACATCATTTGCACCATAACGGGGTTCACAGGAATAAAACATGAAATGCTGCTTTTGCCTAAAAAGGAAGTTGGAAAGGAGGCAAACACAATTAATGAGCTGCTGTTATCTGATGTCTCCCACTTAAACTAGAGAACACTGAGTCATAGTGGACCAGTCTGATTTTGTTAGTACTGTATGAGATTACTTTGCAGCAGTCTGGTGTCATTTGCATATGATGAATGAACCAAAAGGTTCATATAAGTTCAATAGGGTCCTTAATCTGTTGTAAGTAACATTCTTAATGACCAGAACAACTAATATTTAAGTGTGTGATGCGATAAATCACTGTCAGAGAACCCACCCCTTATAAACCTGCTGCTCTCCTCTGGCCAGTCCAGGAATAGTGGTGTCCTTCAGGATTGTGTGCACACCTTTGTCCACAGTAACCTGGGCGATACCTGCTCCCATCAGACCTGCTCCCAAGATGGCAAGAGTCCTGATGGTAAACAACAAAGACAGACAATTTATCTACCACCTAAAAAAGGGTATAGAACATATTAAACAATATGAAGATTGATCCTTAAACTTCATTTAGACCAAAGCAAAGGTGCAAGGTACTGTTTGACATAAGCGTAGACGTGTCAACATGAGTACCAGACCTGGATTTGTATCTCTGACAACTAAGTATTTAACTATGACCAAACGAACTGGCCTGAAATGTCAAGTTTAAGTTGAACATGTGTTAACTGTCCCAAATCACAGACGAGCTCTGTATGTGAAAGTGGCTTACTTCACTTCTCTTGCAGGAGTTCCAAAGCGGTTCTTCTTGCACGCAACTTGACCGTGGTAGAGACCAATCAGGGCCCCTGATTCTGAGGTTCTCGCCAACTGACCGAAATTCTGAGACAAACATTGAAATTGGTGATGTTCACTTACACGGGGCACTACTGTAAATACCAAATTTACAAACGATACAGGGTGACAAACCTTACCTGAGACTCAGATAAGTATCCAGCAACAGGGCCTTGTTCTACTCCAGTCTTCACACACTGAGAGAAAACGGTAACAAATGACGTTTAAATTTAAAGTCATGTGAAATATGAGAGAAAAGAAAAGCGACAGGAAGTGTACTACAGGATTTCCCAAACAAGTTATTCTCCTTTTACTACAAATTTTAAGTCAAGCTCATTTCTTAAATTTCTCCCAGAGGCATCCAAATGTTCAAATATGAAGTTATTGCTTAGAAGGAGCTTTTACTTACATCAATGATTTTCAGGGGTGCAGGATAAAGTCCTTTGCTCTGCTTCATAACTTTACCATGGACAGTTTTGTAAATTTGATTCCGGACAAATCCAAAGCTCATAATGTAGTCTTGAATTTCTATGGAGAAAGAACATCAACTCCTTAATGTACCATTATTATTAATCACGAAACTAATTCAAATGACTACAAAAGAGTCAAATAATCAATAAATGCAGAACCAACTTACTCTGCATCCTGCCCTTCTCTTTGCGGAGAGGGATCTTCTTGTTGACGATTCCTCTGGCACATTCGATGGCAACTTCCTCGAGGTAGTCTATCGTTCTTTCCTCTGGACTTTTCAGGCCAGGTCCTAGAAAACAAGAAGAAATAACACAATCATTTTGATCCTAAATACCAACTCATGCACAGTACAAACTGACCAAAGTGCACAGATTACAACATGCACAGGTGGTAATACTTAAAAACTACCAATTTAAAGCAGTTCAGTGCTTAGTTAAGACTAACTTTTTACCTAGAGGGTCTACAAGTTGGTCGATGAGCCCCATCTTCTTGGCTTTATCTGCTCTGATATTTCTTCCCGTTAGCATCATGTCAAAGGCACTGGGTATCCCAACCTAAAGGTAATAAAAGAAAATTTGTAAACTGATCTCCTATCAAAATTAAGACAGTGTTGTGTTGTGTATAGTCCATAAAAAAGTGTGTGATGAAAAAAGTAAAAAATTTGATTTTCTTTCCAAATTTTGAACAGAGGTTATATTGTAGTTAGTCACAATCCTTTGCTTCGAAGGACAGAGTTGTTGAAAACTGGACACGATGGGCAGGGGGGGATAATCTGTTTGCAGTGTCTTAAAGATGCTTGTAAACATTTTAAACCAATTATGTGCATTAACCAGATTATTTGGCATTACAGCCATTTGAGGTGTTATTCTCATGTAACTAACCATAATATGACTACTATAGGATGCTTTCACACACCATACTCTACATCATCATAAATACTGTATGGTTTTTGTACTTGATTAAAAAGCAAGTAATTAAAACAGTGAGGCAAAGTAATGGAACTTTGAGGAAAAGCAATCTCCTGGGAGGCGCGCACACACTCATCAATATATTTTTGCAGGGTCTGGGGTAAAAATGTTGCAAAAAAAAAAACAATGTGCAAATATTCTTCGAATTGAGGGAGTATAGGAATAGAATTTCAGTACTAACCATTTTGGGGAGTCTCTGAGTACCACCAGCTCCAGGTAAAAGACCCAGCATTACTTCAGGAGTACCGAGAACTGTTTTCTTGCTCTTTGTTGCAATTCTGTACTGGCAGGCAATGGCAAACTGAAATGCAAAACAAACGATAAGATAGCACATTATCATCACTCAAATATTTCCAGTGGAGTCAAAATACAGTTGGTTGCCGAAATGTTTACCTCTAGGCCTCCTCCTAAGCAAGAGCCATTGATGGCAGCAACAACAGGCTTTGGAGATTTTTCAATCAGCTCAAACATCTTCTGCCCTTCCTGAGAAAGTTTGGTGACCTCCTCTGCACTGTTGCAGGCCTGGATCATACTGTAACAGATGGAGAGTGTATTAAAAGACATCCAGAAAATCCAAGACATGACAAACCTCTATGGCATGTCATTCAGAGACTATGAAAGAGATTAATGGCACACATTTCAAAACAGGCAGTGAGTTTAAGGATGTTTCTCTTACTTAATATCAGCTCCTGCAATGAAGCATCCTGGCTTTGAGGAGATGAGGACAGCACTTTGAACAGCATTGTTTCCCCACACTTCATCCATTACTTCTGCCATCTCCTTTTGCATTTGGATTGAAAGGGTGTTAACCTGAAGGGAAGACATCACCATTAGGTTCACATTTGAACCCTGAAGTGAAAATTGTCAGATTTCATTTTCAATGAGCTCCCACCTTGGAGCTAGGATCATTGATCCGTACAACAGCAACATCGCCCTTGACTTCATAGTTCACATGTGTACGGGCTAAAAATAAAGAGAAGATAATGTGCAGTGAGAAAATAATTGTGTCAGGGTGACTTATTTTTAACATATACTATATAAAGAGTAGTCATTATTGGACAGGGTGACCTTTTTTTAAACATATACTGTATAAATTTATGGTGATTTTTGGATTACCTTGCATGGCAGGAGCTACTGAGAACGTGCGAAAATTATTGCCTGTAAAAAGGAAAATGAGAATCAATACAATTACAGTCAATATCTTAACATGTTTAGTAATTCAAGAGCATTATATTAAACCTTAAACACTATATACAAACAAAAAAAATGTCCTCATACAACATAAATACGACATGTAAATGAGACGTGCACATAATATTGCCTTGACCTCAGACGGTCTCGGCCATACTGAGTAATCCAGTGGAAAACGACCCTTCACCTAGATTCTCCGCCTACCACAGAGACACACTGTGGCCATCACAATGGCGAATGAATGGCACGAGTCTTCAAACCCTTATCTGAACTGTCATAACCCTGTCTAAACTGCCCTGACAGGTACAACGTACAGACAAAAGCACAAGCAAAAAGTGTGGTTTAAAACTTTTATTTCCAGAGTCACCCCTCCCTCCCTTAACTTACGTGACTCCGTAGCAGCCAGCTAGCTAGCATAGATAGCAAGTTTGCCCAGAAGTTTCAAACAAGATGTACAATAAAAAGTACAACTGTCAATGACTATTTCAAACAAACTTTCACTGAGATATACGTTTGCTGAAAAAACAAAACGACCGTGTTTTATGGTGCACTGTCACAAATGTCTGCATAACATACTTCGGAGCTAACAGCTACTCTAACAAGCTAATCACCCCTCTACGACACTTGGCATACGCCGTACTTTCCGTATCGCCCCACGCGCTGCTTTTCTTTATACTTTAAAACCAAACCACATGCAATTTCTACCTATGAAGAGAGCATATCTCCTTGATGTCAATCTGGAAAGAACACCAAGGGCTCGAACACCAGCCATCTTGGGAGCGGAGGTCAGTCAGCTGCGGTCTGAAGTGAAGCTAACTAGCTTGGTGTCTGTGTGCTATCATTGGTAAGAAAGCAAGATTGGTGACTGTGCGCTACTTCCTGAAAACCGGTTCAATCGGACCAGACACTGATTGGTGTTCATTAAAAAACCCGAATTCCATTGGCTAACGCGGAGAAACTCGCAGCTCATTGGACGCTCAAGCACCACGAAATGCTTCTTAGCCCGCCCACTTCCTTAACCTGCAATGAAATGTAAACTCTTTTTTGTTTGACTGTGCCATTGAAGTTGTATTTTTTTCCAAACATAAAACACTATTGTCATTACAGTTCTAATTTAAAAAATAATTATTAGACTAAATTAAAGCAATCGCAGCATACTACCACAAGGTGGAGGCAGAAATCAAACTTCAAACTAAAAATAAACAGTTATTGATTTGGTCTCTAAAAAGTCTTCGCATTTCGCAAAAGAGGTTTAATTTAACTTTACATTGTATTTAACTATATATTGTATTTTATATATATGTTTGTGTGTTTTAAAATAAATAAATAAAAAAAAGTAGTCTTCTGTTTTAGTTATTCCTACTTCAAGTTGTATCTCACAACTATAAATATTAATTCTGCAACATCTCTGCAATACCGCAGCCTCTTTTCTGTGACATACATGTCCTGTACATACAAAATGTGGCAAAATGCAAATACAGACAGACTGCTCTACATTTTCAAACATTAAAGCAATAAAATAATAATAAAATTATACTGTATCTCAAAAACATTATTCAGCTTCAAACTTATTCATAATCTTCCCTCAGGTTTTTTTTCTTGTGGTCCTTTTCTGTCTAAAACAGTTTTTTTCCTGCACCTTCCATCTATCAATAGCTTGCAGCTGAGTGACCTACTATATGTTCTATATTGATCACAGCACAAAGGTGACACCCTGTGTACAAATTGGTGAACTACATTACACAGATCTCTCTTTGAGAAATGTATCTTACAGTATACTATTAAATAGAAATACTATATTCTTATTGTATAAATAAATAACACTATAATATTACTGTAAAACAATGCATATTTTCAGAATACTATGCTTATAGAAAAAAAAATAAAACCATCCCATCCCATCCCTGATCCGTGTTGCAACTGTCCCCAGGGTTGGGACAATGCATTATAAAGAGAGCACATTTCATACCCATCCAACCTATAAAGCGATAACTGCTGTCTGTCATTTCTTTTCCATTGAGTCTATTGTAATCATTCAGTCCATTTGCTTTCAGCATAATTAGTATTTTCTACACGTTGGCTATAATCAGTTGGCAGTTATCTTCATTAGTCCTGTACAGTCACTGGAACAGCCAATTTATCTCTTACAGGTGGTAATAGTAAGGAATATGTCATGATATATACTAAATAAAGGAAATGTTACAAGGTTCATGCATTTATCCTTTGACAGAGGGTTGTATAACAAGATGAGACTCCACCATGAAAATTGATTTTATTGTTATGACATTTTATTTATTCACTCATTTACTGTATAATTTTTGTTTTGGTGAGTAGTAACAAGAACTACCACCATACACAATTTTATAGTAAATATATATAAGTATTCCTTCTGAACACCTCCAAGACCAAGGAGGTGGTGATTGACTTTTGGAGGTCTAGGCCCACCCTTCAGCCAGTCAAGATTTGAGGGAAGGACATTGACATTTATATTTTCCTTAAGTGGAGAACAGAGATAGATGAGTGGAGCTGAGAGAGTGAAAGAATAAGAAAAGAGGAGGAAATAAGAACAGTGATCAGGATAATATTACAGTACATGTCCATGATGTTTATTCTATGATGCTATTCCTTAAAGAAATTTAATATCATTAGAGAAAATGTTCTTCTGTTGGCTTTATATTCCGTTCAGAGAAGTGAAGAGATATACTTGGCCTTGTCGTGGATCCATGTCTGCTCAGATAGAGCACCACATATTATCATAGTCTTGATTTAAATGTAGATTTGTCATCTAAACATTAAATTTGTGAACTCTATTCCAGCATAATGTAACAAAAATAAGTCTCAAGATTAGAGTTGCTGTTTATGCTAATTCATTCCCCACCTCATGTAAATTCAAAATAGTAACATCAGACATTTTGCCTCTTTTTGTGTGGCAGTAGTGGAAATTAGTCATTGTCAAAATTTGTTGTGTTATGGTTTCAGAAGGATGGAGACAGAGAATAATTATAGATTCAAAATATGATACGAGCTCTTGATGTTTTTTTTCCTGGGCAACTTTTATGTTTTCCCCAAATGATGTACAAAAGGCTTGATACAGTAAACAATGCATGTAGCTGCTAAGACAGGGGAAAAAATTCCCTGGGGGAGTATGTCCCCTGCATAGAGACTGAAGTTGGGGCTAAGCCCCGAATGTTTACTATGTCTGGCTCCGCCCCTGTACTTCAGTGAAGTTACTTTGCACCAATGTGCCAGCACTGTACTCATACCACTTTTAGCGTACTTCCTGAAATAAATCAAAAGACACCAAAGCACTGTTTTGTTATATTTACGAGGCTTTTCGAATTGGGAAGTATCTTTTTATGTGCAATTGGTTGCACTATAATTTTTATTCTTCTGACCTTTGACATAATGTTGTACGAGGCACATTTGAAGGCAGCACCAGTCTTTTGAGGAAGGCGGGATTATATGTCGCTACCACAAAAATATCCAATCAGGGATCGTACTTTCACATAGCAACACCAATGAGCGAAGAGGGACTGGCCTGGTTGCGAAGGTAGTGGTAGTTGTGGTGTGCTGGAAGAAGCAAGTGTTTCCTCTGGGCTTGCTGGCTGCTAGGTTTGGTAACAACATTCTGCCTAAATATTTGTCAAGTTTGGCACAAAACTCACTGGCGTTTAATTTTCTTGCTGTGTATTTTAGTTTCCGCATGTTCCTATTGCAAAAAAGCTTGCGAGGTGATCCTAACCTTGTCTGAAAAGCATATTTGAAGCACGAAATTACGATGCCATCCCCGATGGAGGGATCTTCCAGAGAAGGTGACCTGTTTACTGTGAAACATGAGCTGAAAAATGGTAAGTTAGCTGCGAACTGGATAAACTCTTAATGCAGTACATTTAATTTGGCATTTATCTTTTGGAGACACGTGTCAGGGGAGAAACGTTAGCTGGATAGCTCGGAAGAGCAAACTGTCACTGTCAATGGGCGTTCATAGAGAGCGCTAACATTAACGTTACTCAAGTCCAAAAATGGCAAAGGAAGGCTAACGTTAGCCGACTGTCCTCATTACTTGTAACGTTACTGCTAACTCACGCAAACTGTTACCTAACCATTTCCCTAACGTTAGCTAACTGCCACTTAACCGTGGTCAACCCAGGTAATAACATTAGCTTAAGCCAGTTGTTAACGTGTAAGGTAAAATCAGACCATCGACAGAGATTTCACCAAGTTTATGCCACTGCCAACGCCTTAACTTAGCATTAATTACTAAATGAGTTGGTTTTCCTGTTATTGCCTGGATTTGTTAGCGGTCACAGCTAACTTCTCCGTAGCGAGGGCAGAGCAGACACAGCTGCAGTGCTGTCAAGTCGCAAAAGCTAACGTTACCCTGATTTCAGTCTGCACATTGTACAGAGGTGTACCTCAGCTGTTGGGGCTCGTGTAATAATGACAGACAGGTAAATGCATTTGTCTCTTGTCTAGCCTTGTTAACTTTACACTATTACACACATATCATCCTCAAGGTGAAACTGACGGTTGTGCTGAATGTTGTTTTTGCTGGAATCAGTTTGCTGAATGATGGTACGAGGAGTAGTGTTGAGATGTAGCAGCACAATCTCAAAACATGACTCTGAGTAGAATCAACAGCAAACACAGTTTTAGTTACTGTTATAATTTCCCATTATTTATAATTGAGACTTCAGGGAGGGTGGTTGTGTTAAGTAGAGTGGTGAGTCTTCCTGATTTAATGCAGAGAGCTGCTGAATGAAGTTAGACACTGCTTCAGCTGTAACTGGTTTATAATAACACAGTGCTGCTCTTCAGGCTGCAACATGAATATGCTGCACCCCCATTTACTGCCCTGCCCTAAATATGCAGTCTGTCTAGTTGTCACTGGCACTTGTTTTTCTGTGATAAATTTCACACAGCATTTTAACCGCTGTATCAACTTCACCTTACTTTGTACCCTTGCAGTAGCATTTGACCCAGTGGAGACAATATATTAAAATAAAAACAAACATACAAACTAAGCCCATTCAGAACAGGTGAGACTTTTTTTAAAACATATTTTTGCCAACAAGTTTATCCTTTCAAGCAAATTGGCAATATCAAGAGATCAGTTTGCCTTTCTGCGCTAATCTTCCTGCAAGATAGCAAGGATTTGTGTTTGCAAAATTGTAAAAGTATACCACAGTGGACATAATCGCTATAGTTTCTTGTCAATGCTTTACACAATAGAAATTGATTAAATTTTTCCTAAAGGATGGTAGTTTGTTGAAATTTTTTATTTTGAGGAACATAGATTTTTCCCTCCTGTAAACGGAAGACGTTCCTTTTGTCAAGCAGTAAGGCATCATCTGGTTTGACACCTCTGTCAGTCTATTAATAAACACCGAAATCAAACTTGGCCTTGGCAGGGTGAGCTTGACAAGGGTGTTATGCAATCTGAACCTCTGACCGTAAATTTGAAGGACAGTGTTGTTGTTTTGAAATGACACAGTATCCACTTGAATTACCTAATAGTTTCAGCATTTCTTCTCCTGCGTGTAACAGGAGAGACATGCATAGATGAAATCAGCCGCTTTAATTGCTCAGTAGCCTATTTTCGGAGTGTGAGACAGAAGGAACGCGTTCACTACAATGGATATGCATGTCTAAGAGCGTGCTATGCTCAGTCAACTGAACCGGGAAACCTTGATTTAGAAAGACACAAGAAGTCATTGACAGTGTTTGCTGAATTCACTAAAGTATTTTGATGGAAGATAATGACCTTTTGCTGGTTAATGTAGCATGTTTGCTTGCAGTTGCATGGAAGATTGTCTTATACTATTGCAAATTTGAGTGAGAGTCAAG